ATGTATTCCTTTCGTTTACGTAAAATTCATGTAGGATTAATAAAGGACCTGCTGTTTTAGAAGGGGGACAATGTCTTACTTTGACAGGAGTTTTGACAAACTTGTAAAGCTATTTTCATCCCGAAATGTCTATGTTTTGTTACCTTGCTGAATGTTAATACTTGACACATTCACCACTGCACTGTATGTAAATACGACACATTCACTGGGTAGCACATCAATGCCATGCTGGTGACAAGTGTGAAATGGCCTGCCATGCTGGGCAAGCACTGAGACAACAAAATAAAACCCGGCTGTGGTGGAGTTGTGAGTCAGTCAGTCAGGACATAATGTCCTTGGTCAGAGTAAATGCCTGCATGTGTGATGGTGCTTCCGAATGAATGTTTCTGAGTCAGACCATCCTGCAGCATTCATAAATTACATGCTCGCACAATGGGCTGTTCCAAAAATACATGTGGAGTTTTTCTCGCCCCCGTTTCAAATTCAGCAATGTATGAAAACCTACAAACGTTCTAGTTCAGAGGGTTTTTTTTTTCAAATAATGTTTATTCGCATTTCAAAAGGAAACAAAGAAAAAAGGGAGAGGACATGTTCACATACAAGAAAAATAAATACCCAGAGACATTCGAGTTCAGAGTTACCCAAACCCTTCCCGTTCCAATCGAGAATTTCTCAAACACTAACCTAGTTCTAACCTACATAATTCAACCCCCGGAACTTATAATTATAATACATGTACTAGCACCCACGCAACTTCAATCCACCTAGCCAAGTTCTGGCCCGTCTTCGGTCGCGATGTTATCTTCAGGAAGTGTGATTTCACACATTCAAAGAACTCGGGGAAGTCCCGAACATGTCGCGGATATTCGGAACTGAAGTTCGGTCGATCGGAAATGGCGACGACCGCTCCGAAAGGCGACGACCGTTCTGAAAAAAGGCGACGACCGTTCGGAAAGGCGACGACCGTTTACGAGACGGAAATTTGCTTCGGCGCCCGAAAGCTTGCCCCCCCCCCATCAAAATTTCAAATCACGGTGTAAAATTTGTGTAGTGATATTGCCCCTGTTCTGGCAGGTGAGTGAGTTGGGACACCATAAATCGGGGCCGGTCTAGGCTGAATCAGGTGACTAGAGTGCCCCACGACTAGGAAGCCAGTATCCATAGCATGTATAATATTTATAAAGGTTGATCGTCACAAACAATTATGGCGCGCTCGGAACTCGCTGATCGGCTTCACCTATCGCCCGGTGCCTTCGGCAGCCACCGGTTCGAAGCCGATTTCGGGTGATTTTGGCACCCGCCAGAACTTGTCTTAACTCCAAAAAACTCCTGGATCGGCCGCCTATGCGCCAATCAACACAAAGGCAATAGTTTTGACGTAGAACTATTAGTTGCTGTGTTTTAGAGGGTCGGGAATCCTCATGATCTAACGTAATTCGTAATCAGCTCTGAGAATTTAACGTAATTCGTAATCGGCGGTGAAAATTTGCCGTAATTCGTAATCAATACCCCCCCTTGCAGGCCCTCACAAAACCATTATGACAGTGGATGAAGCAAGTCCTTTAGTAGTGGAGGAGGGGACAAATTACTCTTCAAGCAGAGGTTGGTGGGGAAGACTGTGACCTTTCTATCATATATAAATATATGTAAATATGTCCCGCTTTTTTAATATGTCGCTACCCCCACCCGCTGTTGGCAATATTAGGCAGGAGGAGGAGTTTTTGTTGAATTGAAAGGGAGTTCAGAGAGAGTGTATCGAAAGCAAGTGCCGAAAGAAATTAAGTGCCGACACGCCACCTAAACATCAGGTTCCGACTCCGAGGCACCCGACGATCATAATTAGCAAATGCCAAACTTAGCACGTGAGGATGATGGAAGATCGTACTGACGCTCAGGGGCTTTGCCTGGTTGGTCAGACCACGCGCTGCGGGTGTCCGTCCCAACATAAATTCCTTAGCCGACTACCGACTGCACATACTGTTGGTGGGGTTACGTGTAGCAACAGTAAAAACGGGGCATATTCGAAAGGTCACACTCTTCCCCCACCCTCCTCTGCTAATAGAGAGTAGGAGAGTTACAGATTTCAAATACAGATACAAACTTCAAAGTTACAGTGCTTGTTGGCACATTTAATAGACCCCTACTAGCCCACCCTGGGTCTATTGTGTTTGGTTCAGGGTCTGGTTGGCCCCTGGAGCTGTGTTTGTTTTGCCAGATTAACTATGGCCACTGGGAAGGCGCCCTGCAATCAAGGGGAGGGGGTGACAAATAGGTTCCCCTCCCATCCTATTAACACTTATCTCTATTAACTTTTGCTGGACACCATAAAGCTCCATGGGTTCACACAAGAGACTAGGAGGTATCTTACCTTTGTAGTAAGATTGAAGGTTGTGTATGGTTGTCTTTTAGGGTAAAAGGTTACTCAATGTCAAAAGACAAATTACGACCGTGAGTATATATCAAGGAGTTTACCTAATGAGTGGATAAACCTGGCTGCTGCTGGTTTCAGACACTGGTGTTAATTATACATATATACATGTTATAGTATTCAGTCCATGTAATCAAGGGGGTTTGATGTAATAGAAGTGGACAAATCACTCCATACAAGTCTTACTCTAAAGTTTGACAACTAGAAATTTGTGACAGATTGATCTACTACATGTAGTATAATGGTGTCCCTAAACTGAAAAATGCAACAACACCAATTTCAACGTCCGAATTCTGTATTCAAATTTTCGAAAGCGGCGCACACGGTTAGGGCAAAATGCGGTCTAATCGTTCTGTGGAAGCCAGGGAAGCCCGGTCCGTGCCGTAAAGTACGGCCCAGTCCGGAACCCGTTATCGAACGTTATGGCGGCCCGGGTATGATATAAAATTTTGTATAATCATCCAAAATGTTATTCCTTGATATAATATGGGTACATCACAGATTTCTCTGCAATATTCAAATTTCTGTAATGTAAAGGGTCAATGGATTGTGGAAAAATTATTACACCCAATTCTTGAGTGCATGGCAAAAGAAATCAGTTGTATCCCATGAAAATTATACAGCTGAGTGTATGTAAAGGTGGACCATTTTTATACCTCCATGGGTGGACTAACGTTATAACCAATGTAGCAAGGTAACCGTGGAATTTTCCTGTTGTTTTGTGTAAGCCAGGTGAAAGACAAGTACTGTTGTTTTGAGTAGAAAAGCCAGGTGAAAGAGAAGTACTGTTGTTTTGTGTAAGTCAGGTGAAAGACAAATACTGTAGTTTTGTGTAGAAAAGTCAGGCAAAAGGTTTTCATTTGACTTAAAAAGTGAATAAAAACATTAACAAAAGGTCTTAGCGTGGAAGTTCATCAGTGTTGGTATACATCATTGTGAATAAAGTCTAAGCTTTCTTTCCAACACTGGAATGAAAGTGGGACTTACTCCAAATTTTCGGTCAACTTCCATCAACCTTGTGACGTGATCATCTGGACCCAATCCCCTCGACCTGCCTTTTGACATACAATCTGTACAGCTTTGTCATTATGTATTTTCGTGTTTGGGGTGCCATTTTTTTACTGTACATGTGGATAACTTCATCAGTGTCTAAGTCTAGGGGTATCTAACTTCCTTTGAAATTCACCTACAGAAACAAAGAAAATAGCATTTTAGAGGGTTTAAAATATCCCCTAAAACTCTCGCACCTTCACTCTTGAGCCAGTCAACAGAAAGGTGCTGTTGGGCGTGGCACAGGCTAACAGACAGTGCTGAAATCAAAGGTGTCCCTATGGCCAGAGGCCACCAAAATTTTGTCTGGGACAATTCAATGTACACTTTCGGGAAATTTTGGGACAGTAGAAAAAATTTACAATTTTTTGTTCGCCATGCCATTGTTACGATGTAGGTGCACAAATCAGCATTTAAACTGCTTTCGATAGGCAATTATGGATAGCATTACCAAAAACTTTGGCAAGAGGGGGTAAGAATTCGTTCTATGTAAAGGAAAAGGTTGACATGGGTAGCATTACCAAAAACTTTGGCAAGAGGGGGTAAGAATTCGTTCTATGTAAAGGAAAAGGTTGACATGGGTAGCATTAGCAAAAACTTTGGCAAGAGGGGGTAAGAATTCGTTCTAATAAAGTATGTAAAGGAAAAGGTTGACATGGATAGCATTAGCAAAACTTTGGCAAGAGGGGCTAAGAATTTGTTCTATGTAAAAGAAAAAGATGACATGGATAGCATTAGCAAAAACTTCAGTTAACATTGGTATCAATAAATTGAAGTAGTGTAGCACTTACTTGCTATAGTCAGTATTAAAGACCACATGACACCAAAATATAACCTTATCTAATTCTGTATCTGTATTTGTTTAGATGGTATAGCTGCCTCTCGGCGTAACACACCAGCTTCGCAGGCATGCGGCGCGGCGGCAGCTGGCTACATTACACCAAAGACTTGTTACACCTACTTTATTACTATTGTTCATAACAATTAAATGGCTATAGTTATACATAGTGGTCATGAGGGTTATGTATCGTTATGAATAATAGCCAAAAGTCATGTATATGGTATAATGGTAAAAATTGATATGCATAATTATATATAATAACCAAAATGGATATGCATAGTTATATATAATGGTTAAAAGGGATATGCATAATTATGTATAATGGTTAAAAGGATATACATAATTGTGTATAATGATCAAGAGGAATATACATAGTTATGTATAATGATCAAGAGGGATATACATAATTATGTATAATGATCAAAAGGGATATACATAATTATGTATAATGGAAAAACTAATATGTATAATCATACATGATTATAGATAAATATAGTATAATTATGTATAATTATGTATAATTGGACTATACCCTAGGGACTAATTAACACATTCCACATATTTGTCACCTTCTACTATGTACTCAGAAAAAATATAAACCTAATTGGGTAAAGCAATTTAGAGTTATTAGCGAGGAGTCCATAATTAAAGTGTTTTTCCATAATTAAAGTGCTGCTTGTTACATACACATAATATTAGATCCTTCACACTTCTGCATCAACAGAACACTTATTGAGAACAAAAACATTCTTTGTTCAATCTATATTCATATTTGACTATATTCATATTATGTTCAATTTCATAAGTCAGTGGACTTTTCTTAAAACATTTTTAAGACTGATTGGTTTGCAATTCCTCAGCGTAGTTGGCAGAACTTTTGTTGTTACCATGTCAAATGTTACCAGTCCAAGCTTGTTCTATGGGTTGTGAATCGCGGGCTATTTTCACTGTAAAACTGCGAGTACCAGCGACGGTGGCGAACGATGGCAGCGTCTTCCTTCACCAATACGGGCTTGGCTGGATAAGACTTGTTGTTCCAAACAGTAACATCTCGTTCCAACTGTAGATGAGGATAAACACATCATTTTACAACCCTTAGTTTGTAGTTTGAAACTACATTTTTACCTCCATGAAAATTTGGAGGTATTGTTTTTGGCGTGTCTGTATGTATGTATGTCTGTGTGTGTGTCTGTCTGTGTGTGTGTCTGTGTGTGTTTCCGCAACTTTGTAGTCAGCATAACTTCAGAACACCTTAAAAAGTTTATGGATTGTGATGATATTTGGTATGATGGTAAGTCTTGGAAAGACAAAGTCAAGGTCAAGTATGGGCCTCCTGGTGGATGACCTTGGTACTGCAGCAGAACTTCCTGTTTTTGTATCTTTTGTCCTGAACAAGCTATGGTCTTGACTTTTTGGTGACAGATAGCTTATCCTGTCAGGAATAAGTGGCGAAAGTTTGGTCCCCCTAGCAGCTTGTTCTGGAACTGCAGGTTAGTTTCTGGTAAAAACTTTCAAAGCCAATAAGTCCAGATAGGAACAACATATTTTCATAATTTTTGGTGTGTAGGTAGCTGAGAGAGAGATGTACATAATTAAATGCAAATTATGCAAATGAGGACTTTATTTGAATAATTAATGAGGGAATTCTATCATTACAGTGTTTTACATTATACTACTTTCATACATGTAATGTATGTAACCTATGGCAGGCGGAACTTCAACAGATACTAATTATGCAAATGATGACCTAATTTGCATAATTAATGTGAAAATTCTATGATTTCTTAATGGTGAATGATGGGAATGTCATACTTGGGACATCTGTAAGTTAATCAAAAGTTAACATACATCACGATGCATATATCATGTTAATGCAGAGGTCATTTGCATAATTAAAGAAGAAATTTACATTTACATATCAAGCCCATATTACATGGAGGTATGAAATCTCGGAATTCTTGTTTCATTTAAAATCAACAAAATTAGTACATTGTATTTTAGTCATTACTTGACAGAATAACAGAACAGAAAAAATTCTACTTCTTGTTTTGTGACGATCATGACAAAGGATAATGTTCTGAAATGTCACTTCTTGTGCAGTCAGAAATATCACTTTCTTGTGCAGAAAAATGAGGTTATGCATTAATTGTCATTCATCCAGCTTCTATAGACAGAATATCAAAACCAAAATGTACGCGGTGAATAAAAGACAAGAACACAGTTCTTTGTGGTAGAATAAGGGGATAGTAAGGCACAGTTTCCGGCTACATATATTTTCCAAATTTTGTTTGATGTGGATATCCCTTACTAACCTGTACGGCTTCTCCCCACTGAACCGTCTTGGCGACAAATGTTGGTGTTCTGCGGCTGGCATAGATGCTCTGTGTGTAGTGTAGCAGGAGGGGCTCCACAGGAGTGATGGAACTCACCAGGACCAGGTTCATCAGAGGACCATCAATGTATAGGAACACCACACCTGGGCCGTTCTGTCGGCAGAAAGTTAAAGTTGCGGTTAGACAATGATGTCAATATGACTGCAATATATGTAAACCTGATAATGGTACCGGCTTCCAGGTCTGACAGCATGGGGATGTCAAAGTTTGAGGAACTCTGGGGGTATCATGGTGCCTAATAGTAATGCACGGACCAACTGACTGTAAAATTTGTTCCTCCACTACACCATCTGACTGTATAATAAAATGCAGGCTTAGTACTTTGTGTTCCATGTCCTATTCGTGTATCCGTATGTATGTAATTGCTCTGTGTTTCTTTTTGTATCCAACATGACAGGTTGACGTAAGTTTGTACTCTTGCTTTGTTGATTGATTTTAATAAAATTTACCGGGCTGGAACGTTGGGTGATTTGGAATACCCCATGTTGCATTCTATATAAATGCCAAACTGTCATGGTGCCAAACTGTGAGTCATGTACATACCTGTAGGGCATGAGCCTTGATATTTGACCCAGGGATTCTGTGGCCAAAGAGATACACGTCCATCTCCACTGTCATGGTGCCAAACTGTGTGTCAGGTGAAGGGAGTTGCTGCCAGTCGGCCTCCCACCTGTGTGTGAGGAAACCGGCCAGGGATGACCAGATGTGGCGCAGGTCGTTCCCTGCCGTCACGCCCGGCCCGTGGAGGTGGTTCAGGTGGCCGACGTCTGCACCGTTCTCAGATATCTCCTGTTCATAACGACAAGGTGGTGAGACCACATGTTTGCTGTAGCACCATCAACATTATGGTGCGTGTGTGTGCGCGTGTGTGTCTGAGTGTGTGTGTGTGCGTGTGTGTATTATTAATCAATACATTTATTCATATATATTCATACATATTCTTTATAATATCTAGACAGATGGGTAGACATAGACCACTTTGCTAGGTGGCCTAAAGACTTGAAGGATTGGCACCATCCTACAACCATTACCGGTATATACATGGGATTCAAAATATGATCTAGGCACTGACATATGCAGGCCTGTGTAACTAGCTAACATCTTGTCATTGGTAGAAAGGTTACCTCCACATGTGCGTTGATGAAGTGTTCAGAGAATCCCCGGCACGTCCATTCCCCGCTCTGTATCTCCTCGATGGTTTTGGGTGTCCAGGAGGGCTCCTCTCCGTCACAGTGGTACCAGACGTAGATGCTGCCGTTTCGCTCCAGACACCTCCACGACTTCACACGGGCAACGTCTGGAACTGCAAGAACACCTGGTTGTTATCTAAACTTCTTTTACTACTTAAAAGACATGAAAGAAAAACAGCCAGAGGAGCTGAAGCTGCCTATAGCTAACTACCTAATATGCAAATAGACAATTAGAGTTCATTTGCAGAAATCATATTAGTTCATTATATCATCACCAAAATAACAGCGGTTGCCCAATGACAGTGTTATCCTAACAAAGAAGGCAATTCTAGCATTTTATCATGAATAATGCAAACAAGGTCCTGATTTGGATAATTTATGTTCAGCGATATTCAACTTCACTTGACTTCCAAATACCAGAAATATGAAATTCCTAGTTAGCAATTTCCACCATCGAATTACAGTGTTTCCTCATTGATTATGCAGAACCGAGGCCAAAATCTAATCATTTCGAGGCCTCATCAAGCCCACCCACATACCAAATATGAAGATATTTATTTCTTGAGTCATCATGTTGACACACAGACAGACAAACACTTGATAGCATAGGTGAATTTAAAGGAAGTATCATAACAGTAAATTAAGGTGCCTCACCTTTAGCAGCATACGGAATATGCATGCACTTCCCGTCCTCTCCCCGATACCGCCATCCGTGGAAGGGGCACTCAATACAGTTCCCGACCACCCTGCCCCCCACGCCCAGGTTAGCCCCCAGGTGCGGGCAGTAAGCGTCCACTACAGACACTGTCCCATCTTCCTGGCGAAACACAGCAAGGTGCTGTCCTGTGAAGGCATACGGTAAGTTAGCCTGGTTTATACCAGACCTATTTTAGCTCCAGAGTCTTGGTCCTCTCCACAAATAGAGGATAAAGTCTAGCCTTTATAGTGTCAGTCCTTTTAGCTTTCGTCCGCTCCCCAAGATCTGCTAGCGGACGAAAGCTAAAAAGGCTGACACTCAGGCTATAAAGACTCTGGAACTAAAATAGGTTTGATAACCAGGCTAATGGTATGTCAGTGGTCTCTTGTCCTAATATCCATTGGGGTGTAATGGCATGCTAAATAGATATTGCAATATGAACAATGTTCCTCTCTTTCTTACTTGCACATGTCATGTTTAAAGTCCTATCATCGGATGCAGCTAATTCATTGAATTTCCTCATTGATTGTGCAAATAGGCTCCTGATTTGGCTCAAATTTAAAAAGTCCAGCTTTGTCTCGCATTTGAAATTACAGTTCTGAACCCAGGTTAAAAAAGGCATAGAAAATAAATGCAGCGGTGTCTAGTCTATAAAATCATTACCTAAGGCGACAACCTCCTTGACCTGTCCCCGCTGTAGGAAGCGAGACTCGAGGATCCCCCACCAGCCGTTGGGGAAGACCGGCGGGAGATGCCCCCTCTGCCGCCGCCTGCGTACATCGTTAGCGAAAGCTTTCATGTTCCTCTTGCCGTCGGGGTGGTAGCCAAGGTCACCGAGCTGGCGGGAGAGCACCATCGGACAGAACAGTACCTGGTAGAGTAAAGGGACTCTTTTTACATAACCAAGTCTTGTATTCAGTTGATGTTTTGGTGACTGTCAGTCACCTTCCTCAGAGCAATTCTGACTGGTTCACATCGCACTGCAGCACAGGTGTTGCTGCTATGGATGCATTCCTAAACATACAATAATTACCTATCTACACATATGTGTGGTTACAGTGCTGCAGTGCAATGTGAACCAGCACTAGTCCCCTTGGGTCAGACTTGCCCTGAGGAAGGTGACAGATGGTCACCAAAACCTTGGCTGAATAAAAGACTTGGTTGTGTAGAAAGAGTCTCTTTACTCAGTGACTTACCAACCTGATGAAACTATTCACGCAAGTACCTGGTAGAGCCAGATGGCGCCCGCCAAACCCACAGCAAACAGCAGCAGCACTTCTACTGATGGCCACTGGAACGTGAGCAGCATTTCTCCCCGGAGCAGCACCCAGGCAGCGTCCACTCGGGCAGGGCCATGTTTCAAACCGACAACAGATGCCAGGACCGCCAGCAAGACCGCAAACAGATGACCAATATGCAACATCTGTAAAGGGGATAGATGAGGAATTTTCCACTGAATTGCACATTTCAAAATTACCTTTGAAAAGCCCTTAGAAGTTTGTAACACTAACTTATAATATTGAGACTGGGACAAACAGATGATATTTCAGGTACATAAAATGCATACGCACAGATAGAGTAATACAAGCCCTGACTCTTCAATGGCCAATCTCCACAGTAAAATATCTAAAGGAGCCTAGGACAAAAATTGTGGATAAAAAAAAAGAAGAATTAACAGTAAGTTGTGAACTTGTGTAAATACTGTTTATGATAATATAATAAATTTATAGTAAAACGTTAAACTTTATTCCAACACACTATTTACAGGGATCAAATTTTCAGCGACCACTGTCGCCTTCATCAGGATAATCAATCACGTTGTGAAGTGATTGGTCATTAATTATCCTGATGAAGGCGACAGTGGTCGCTGAAAATTTGATCCCTGTAAATAGTGTGTTGGAATAAAGTTTAACGTTTTACTATGATTACTACCAACACAGATGAACTTTCATGATAATAATAAATTTATGTCTCGAACCACCAGAGCATGGCCAGTATCTAATAGTAGAAGAGCTGACTCAAAATGAACCAGTAAAACATATCATTATCACTGACGGTAATGAAACAATGTAACGTTATGTACAAATATTTACATAATCCCACTGCCACATTGGCCAGGAGTCCAACGGCCAATCTATCTTTCCCAATCTCTTCTAGTTCTAAAGAATGATTCTACGCCAGTGACATTCACTTCTTTCAATCTTGAAATGTCTTAAAGCATTATGACAATCAATTCACGAGAACAGGTGGGGCAGTTTATCAAACTTGCAGGACTTTTTGTTGACTTCCATGTTAAAACTGGTGAAGGACAATGTTGAGGGCAACAAATGTTTAGTATTACTTCAATGACAGTTTATAGATTTGAAAGGTTGGTTGACAAACTCTAAAGCACGGTGACCTATCCAGAACCCAGGTGTCCTAGTAACCATTAGCAACCCCATTGCTCTCATGAATTCAACAACACCAAGATCTTTGCTGACAATTAAATTATGTCTTGTCAACGATGTCCATCTTTGCATGACTCAATATAATGGAAAATAATACACAATTGGTATCTTCAATGTGTTACAAACCTTGTTCCATGTACATTTGTACATATTTTGTTGCCTTTCCATGTGGTAAACAATTTTGATTCTAACGCCGTTTCTTCTGTTTGATCTATCTTTAGCACCATTTCTACCTACACGTTCAGCACGTAATCCACCCCAATGATTGACCAGAGCAAGTTATGAATATGATTGGGAAGGATATTTAGGGGCCTGCATTAACTTCGGGGAAAATGCACTGCCGTGAAATAAATTTCAAGTTAAAATTTATGTACATAACGTTAAATTTTAACAAATTTGATATTAGGTAGTAAAGGTCTTTAATCTTAGCCTGTCATATAGTGGAAAAAATTGTCAGCCTTTAAGGTGCGTCTGCCTTCATAATAGGCATCACATATTTATCATCATGCATTAATTGATATAAATACAGTAACTGAGAATACAATAATGAAGGTGCTGGATGCACCATGAATCCATACTTCCGCATTTCCGCGAATTATGCAATCAACCAGGAAATCACTGTTATATCATATAGGAGAGGATGACAACTCACTCTGTCTGCAAATCTAGTTGGTAGAGGACTCTTTCTCACGATCGACTGAAGTATCCTCACCCCGCAACACCTGTAACGTTACGTACGGCTCGTGACGCCTCGACTAGCGGTGCACGCACACCCACCAGTAAGGTCTGTAGCACGACAAACTTCGGACTTTGACCTTTTAAACTGATGAGACAGACCATTGCAATCAAGGGAGGTGAACCTTACTACTCTAATCCTGAAGTAAAATTTTATCATCACCAACAGCAGTGACATAAATACTCTATCGGGACATGTTACATGCATTTATTCCTCTAAAAAGAATGATTGAGTTGAAATACCGTGAAGTGTCATTCGCGCAATTCATGAGAATGGTATGGTCCATTTTGTTGTTGGCCTTTATCATCAACACGAAGGCTCTAAGTCTAAGAGTTGAGGGAGAGGCCAAAAGGTTTTGTAGATCAGCAACATTCTAAGGTGTATCGGATTTGACTCATCATCATCTTTGATAACTATCCTACTTTTCCCCCATCCCAAATCCAGGAGTTTTCCTAACAAGTGCAGGTTTCAGGAGACGAAGTATCCATGCCTGTGAACAGTACTGGACTTGTAGGTCTGTGGGAGGGGGGCGTGTGGCGGAAGGTTGCCGTGCTGGTGGGGTCGGCTACAGCGGCGGTCGCGGTGCTGGTGTTGGTGGAGCGGTACCTCAGGCGGCGCCGCGGCGGCTGGACGGACGTGGCGGACGAGGGGATAGAGATGGACATGGTGGAGGAAGAGGTAGGGTTGCTATTAAAGGCATCCAAAATTTGCTAGTTTTGGGCGGCAAAACAAAAATATCTGTCTGTTATTGACTTTTACTGCCATTTCTTACCACATTTTGTCATAATCTCATACTTAAAATCGTTTGAAATAGACCAAAAACAGGCTATGTGAGGTATTTCTTTATTTTTGGGTAACGTTACCACCCATAAATAGCAAGATCACACGCCTTACACTAGTTACAGATATCTACTATGCTATGGTATAGGGTTGATTCAACTTTACTACATGGTTAAGGCACCAACTGTATTTGAAAGAGTGACCAGAAAATTGACTTTGAAAATCCAGTTTTACCTCCCTGAAGTTGCACTGGGCATCTTAAAACAAGACATTTGACAGCAGCACTATGAAAGAGAAGTGGCTGTTGTCTTTCTAGATAAATGCAGATAACGGTTGAACCTACTAATGCAGTGTATCTCTTAGTTTTAAATCATTGTATTTCTGTCCAGTCAGAGGAGAAGCGAATTGTGGTGCTGGGACTAGACGGAGTTGGAAAGAGCAGCTTCCTGGCCTGTATTGCTAACCAGGACTGTCGGCAGACCATGAAGCCTACAGAAGAATTCAATGTCATGTGCATCCAGACCAGGCAAACTTCACTCAACATTTGGGAAAGTAGGTGAAAATCCATTTGCATACACTGTACCTTACTAATGTCAGTCAGGTTATGGAGTTTCACATCTGATGATCATCAAGAATAGTATAATACATGCACAAATGTATATACAAAACGTCAGTAAATGCCTTTCATTGAGTCAGACTCGGTCCAGATTAGGCCACACCCATGTTGATTCCGAGTCGCGCACGCTGCCGTTGCGCCACATGACCCTACACTAGACAGCAGACAAATTGTTTCCTCTTTTTTTCTACCAAATATTTGAGTTGAAGTTGTGCACTTACATTTGTGATTGCAAGATTTCCAGAATTCTTGATATTGTCCAGTATGTGCAACACTCAACGGTTTCGAATTTCCTGTTATTTTTTTCAGTCGGTGGTACAGAAAACGTGCGCTCGTACTGGGCCAACTTCCTGCCCAACACGGACGTGTTGGTGTTTGTGGTGGACTCCACAGACGAGGCTCGGCTGCCGCTTGCCAGAGAGGAGCTGCACAAGGTTCTGTCTCACCCAGCACTGAAGACTGTCCCGCTCATGGTACTGGCCAACAAGCAGGTCAGTGCAGAATAAACTAATACGGATCGAACACGTCAAACTCCCTGTTCTATTTCAAACACCAAAGATAGCACAATTACTCATTTCCTTCAGCCTGCTGCCATGGCCTGGACGGAGAATATATTGATTTCAGATTTGCCCGCTTCATTTTTTTCTGATTTGCAAAAGAAAAAAAAGATTCAGGTGCTCAAATTTCGTCTAAAACAGTTGAGGAAAATCTCACTGCTTTCCTAGTTGTTGTAGTTTTCCCATCTATCAATGTATTGGTTTGAGTTTGATGAAAAGTTTAAAATTCATTGTTTGAATTATATACCAGATCGGTATGTTGAAGTCATAGCTCCTGTCATAGCTTTTTGGGCTATCAGAGGATGCCTAGGCCTGTTTTATTTCTTATTTCTTTCACTGTCGCTTCATACTAGTACTTTCTCTGAAAAAATCTGAGAACCAACAAATCAGATTCGTGTGGCCTACTAATATGTATGAACACCTTACCTTGTCACCATTTTGAACCTTCCTTCATTTTGAACATCCCCAGGATGTAGGTGGTGCCCTGAGTGTGGATCAGGTCAGCTCAGCTCTGCACCTCAACTCTCTCCCTGCCAACAGAGTCGTTCACATCCTACCGACAGAGGTGCCACCCGGTCTCCCCACCAAAACAGACAGCACAAAAAAGGCTGAGGAAATGCTAACAACTCTGTCTAAGAGCTGATGTAGTTAAAGATTGGCCTCACTTAGGCATTGATCTTGTAGTGCTCTAAGGGCCTGGGGGATAGGTGATGGGGAGTGGTCAGTTATTAAGTAGTTGCAACTACATGTACATCTCAAGTCTTCAGTACACTATAGTCATAAAGAGCTTTTTCACATGAGGTCATTGCTGTGTCTGCCACCATGTTGATGTTACCATTTGCATTTTGGTGAATTTTGCTCAAGCATTTTCAGATAGATCTTCTGTCCCCTTCAATTAACCACTATTAAATGTCTACAGCACAAAGAAGGGCATACCAGTAGAATACATTTATACCTCAAAATTTTCTGAATAAAGACAAAAAAGCTGTGTAGTGTGTACAATTGAGCTATGGTCAATTGAAATGCAAATAGGGACACCAACATGGCTGTCAGTATCTGCCTGCTTCATTGTTATGGGATGTGAGTAAAAACTGCCAATATGAATGGCCTCAAAAATGTAATATATTGTAAGTTACATGTGGTGTGCCTAACTGTAAAGGATGATGTCAGATGTCATACATGTTTTTTTATAGAGATGTTTTTCTGTTTTGACAGCTTGACATATTTCTTGACCCCCAATAAAAGATTTTGGGGTTTTGAGGAGCTTAACCTTTATTATATATATATATTTTGAGGCTGTATCATTTCTATAGGAGAGAAATGGAAGTCTACAGTACATGTATAAAGCTGTGTTCCAAGCTATACCAATAGAAATATCCTACAACACATGTTCTATCGTATATACTTTAACTAGGAGAAAAGAAATTTGTACCCACATACTGTTTGCATATAGTTTCTTAGCTAGACATTCTACAGAATTTATTTTTTAGACACTTTATTCAGTGTGTTTTTGTGCACTAGCCATGGTATGAACCTGTTTGTAGGGACTTGTATGTACTTCTTGTACATTAAGAGAGGAGACTGCTGTTTCACTAACCATAGACAATCTGTTCAGAAGAGCTTCTAAAACTGTATGAGTGAACAATTGCAAATCGTAATGTGTAGTGTATGATGTTGTAGAGCTTTGGTATGGATTTAGTACATTGTACCAGGAATTGTTTACTTAGACAAAGGGAAAGGATAACTTTGTGGTGTTGATTGTACAGAAAGTATGTTGTTTGTCAGTCTGCAAACTGTAAGTTACATTCATCTATGTATTTTAGAACTACTTTGAGAAAGCCTTAGGGTGCAGCCAAGCATTGGGAATATCAGTCAAACTTTGTGACGTAAAAACAAGATGATTTTGCCTAGTATGAGCAGGGACCAAATTTAACTTAACTCCTCTGTGTTGTGAGGTAGGTTTAAGGTTCAGTGGCACCTGTGTTATCTATTCCATTGTATTACTGTTGCTGACACGTGACACCTGTCTTTAATAAACTTGTATCTGTTCAACATGTTGGCTTTCTTTATTATGGCCACGCCATTCCATATCATTTCCTCTCTACTAGGTTCTTGCACACTTTCCTTTCTACCATGCTCTAGATGTAATCTGATATTGTGTATGAAAATTTATACGCACCTACAGTAACACAGTAAAGTAAACCCAGTAAAGTTCTACAACTGTTTTACCAATTCAATTTCTTTGAATCAACCAATGTCCTTGACTTCAATATCGGAAAGAAGAATTTTCAAAGCCATCTCTGATGCTTAGAAAGGTAAAGTTACTCAATTAACTTTGGGTTGTGGCTTGAATCACATGTACAGTGCATTCATAAGGATCCTGAAATCATTTGTGTTCCGACTTTATTTGATACTGCATAGTACTAGTACATGTACTGTGTTTTGAATTTGCTGTTTCCACTGCAAGCTCATTAACATTTCTTCTTGTATTTGCATTGTGTGGCTCTTAAGCTTCTTGTTTCAACTGGAACTTCTGATTTTCACTATGATTTAGTCGTCACAGGTTTAAATGAATACAGTTTTTGCACATGTCACGCAGATAAACTACTGTTCACTATTGTCTGAGCTATTCTCCACGTCTTCTGTTCTCTGTACAGGTGGCCATCCCGGCAGCGTGTCCCCCCACTCACTCATCCGGGCACATCTGTACAGAAGCTTCCCGTGCTTTCTCGACGTCACAACAGCCTCCTGAAGCTGCCCGTTTGCCAGGCACATCCTGCAGTGGACGTGTCGCGGGCGCCGTAGCACCGACCGGACAATCCTCGGCCACGGGGCCGACTCTTCGCTCCTCGCCCCTTTGCGCAGTACAACATAGGAGAAAGTTTCCACAGTGGAATTACTGCTCTTTGGAAGTACGGCCATGAAGCTGGGAGGTTGGAAGGACTGCTGAAAATTGCAGGGCGTCTCTGAACCATCTGCCAGACGAGGGCAGGATGTGTCGTGGGGACACGGGGAGAAGACGTGAGCGACAGGCTCGTCAGTCAACTGTGGCTGCTCGGCACACTCCAGCTCAGCTTCTTCAAGTTCAGAGTCAAGAACATCTGGGAATAAAACGGAAATATCAGTTATAAAAAAAATCTATTGGGAACAACAGTGTTGGACTGTTGGAAAAAACCTACCAACAGATAGGACCCAATAGGTCTGTTTTTCCATATTTCTAACTGAATGGCAAAATAATAAAACACACATAAACTGGAAGTCTCCAAGTCACTTTTATTTTACAACCATTTGCAATTCTAGGGAATTTTGTTACATTGGATTTGATCCAACACTCTAAAACTAATATGTAAAGAAGTAAGTGATTCTAGAATTAAATCATCATCAAATGATTAAAATACCAAATTAGCTCATTAAGATTGGCACAAATAGAATGATGTACCAGTAATTGTCAGTCATGCTGTAATTACATTCTCAGTTGTTTGTAGAGGAGCAAACTGGCTGCCTAACTGTACCAACCTTCTGACAGCAAACCCTTTCTAGGTGCCTAACTGTACCAAACTTCTGACAACCTAACTGTACCAACCTTCTGACAACACCCCCTTTCTAGATGCCTAACTGTACCAACCTTCTGACAACACCCCCTTTCTAGATGCCTAACTGTACCAACCTTCTGACAGCACACCCTTTCTAGGTGCCTAACTGTACCAACCTTCTGATAACACCCCCTTTCTAGGTGCCTAACTGTACCAACCTTCTGACAACACACCCTTTCTAGATGCCTAACTGTACCAACCTTCTGACAGCACACCCTTTCTAGGTTCCTAACTGTACCAACCTTCTGACAAAATGTCCTTTCTTGGTGCCTTACTGTACCAACCTTCTGACAACATGCCCACCCGGCGCCCTTTCTAGGTGCCTAACTGTACCAACCTTCTGATAACACCCCCTTTCTAGGTGCCTAACTGTACCAACCTTCTGACAACACACCCTTTCTAGATGCCTAACTGTACCAACCTTCTCACAACATGCCCTTTCTAGGTGCCTAACTGTACCAACCTTCTGACAACCCGCCCTTTCTATCAGCCTTGCCACTGAGCACCAGATCTCTGGCCTCCATCACCATCCTGTATCCCTCGTTGGTTCCGTTCTCCAGGATGACCAGGAACTGTGAAGTCTTCCTCCACAGTCTCCGTACCACCCTCCTCCTCTGCACCCCGCTCGGCTGTTCCCCCAGGGAGTACGCACACACCACCAGGTCGTGTTGGATGTTCAGGTTCGGCAGTTCGTACTGTCTGAAGATGATGTTGGGATGAAGAAGCTTCCCGTGTTCCTCCCCGCCTCTCAGGAGGAGCTCTGCGAGGTTGTTCATCGATGACGAGGTGTCGAAACACGTGTACTCCCTCAGCCAGTGCCCCCAGAGCGTGTGTGCAGCCCAGACCGTCATCCCAGTTCCGGAACCGTAGTCCATCAACGTCATCGGGCGGAATTTCGGTTCTCGTTTCTTAAGCTCCGAGAGTACGCGATAAGTAGCGGCGAACACGCCCGGCGCCTTCCCCACGAGGTACGCCAACCCTGTCATCTCATTCCACGTTACAGGCTGCCAGTGGTACAGCTGTTGCTGCACTTTTTTCAAGACTTTACTTTCAACTTTCCTTTGCTGTGCAAGTGCTTTTTCATCCATCAAATCCGTCTCCTCTTTCAAAAGGCCTTGCTTGGTGTACTCCTCAGCGATCTCCTGTGCTTTCCTTCTGACGTCGGCGTCTTCAGCAGGCCGTTTTCTACTCCATAGATAGTTCTTCAGATATGTGGCGTTGACTGTTAACTGACCTGAAGACGAACCCGCACGTTGTAAGGTCGCCTCTACCGCGTTCACAAGTCTCTCTGGCAGACGCACGGACTTCACGTGCTGTATTCCCGGGTGTTTCCTCGGCTTCGTATCACCGAGAATGACCTTCATATCACGTTCTGATGTGTCTGTTGCATGTTGGAAGCTAGACAGTGCCGCTGCAGTCGTTTTAAACTTCTGCTGTGTGAAAACGACGCGAAAATGCGTACAAAATCGGAGCAAAACGTGTTTTTTCGTGATGGAGGCCGCCATCTTGAAAAATGTAACCCCTGACCTTCAATTTTTTTCACGAAAAAACATCGACTATACTTTGTAACATCATACACGTACAGTATATGGCGTTATATATTTGAAAGTCATTGATTTTCCATTCATTTCCAAGTTACAGGTAAAAGACATGAAGAGAAAGATTTTTTTTACCTCAGCTAAGCTAACCTTTGACTTTTCACCTCCAACTCTGCATCCTCGTCAGGCTCAGCCACAGGTTGCACCAAGTTCTTGTTTGCACATACAGAGCTTCATAACGTAAGACTAAGCTATTTAACTTGCACTTGGCAAGGTGCTTTAACTTGTCATGGGAGTCTCCTAGGGCAGTAGGCAGAATGTCACTCGAAACGTCCAGAAGAAATATCAGTATTTTATCCTTTCCAGTGCATTCAATGTTACTAGTATTCATGATCATGCTTGACATGTAACGTTATAGCATGATTTTGAACCTTCTAATCTTGGTTATAGATAGTGACAACGTTATTATCTTCGTCGAGAAGGTTATGTCTTATTAGGTGCACCATATATCGGAGTTGCCAATTTTTTTAAACCGGCTGTAACTTAGGATGTGGTGCCTGTACTATACTATCTACTACCCGGTACTACTGTAGTTTTCAGCAAAATAGCAGGCCTTTTATGATGGAATTTGACTAGACATCATCATCATCTAAACAGGAAGATTTTTGATGTTGTGATTGTGTTTTCCTAATACTGTATGTAATTTGTTGGTCGGTTGGGGTCGGGAATACGAAGGTCAAGTTTGATAATGGACATTCTAGCGGCTTTCAAAGGTACTGCAATGGCATGTTCAGGTCTTTGACCTCTAGTGTTGTATCTCTTGTCTGTTGCAGAATGGCTGCTGAAGCATTTAAGAAACATGAGGTGGTTCCAGATGTGATTGACAAGGCCCCAGCAAATGTGTTGGAGGTAGGTGGCAGCACTGTTGTAAAATTTGAGTTTTGTTCCAACACATTTAGGAAACGCGAGCAAGCGACAAGTTGGAGAATAATTTTGATTGAATTATCTCCCTTGTCGTTTCAGCTTCGCTATGGTGCTGTGAAAATTGAGCAGGGCAACGTGGTCACCCCAACACAGGTTAGTCATCTGGAAGAGTATGATGCATGAAGAAAATTTTATTCACTGATGTGATGAATAGTTTTGGACTGACACTTGAAATGTCTGTTGAAATTTTATCCGATGGTAAAGTTTGAATCACAATTTACTGATTGTTACAGATGTACTTAGTAAATGTTGTAATATTGTAACATGGGGTTCTGGTGACTAATAACTGCATACTGTTGTTCAGGTGAAGGATCGACCAACTGTGTTGAACTGGCCCGCTGAAGAGGGTGCACTTTACACACTCATTAAAACTGGTAAGTTAAGTCTGGTACAAAGGGCAGTGTCCATCTCCATTTCTATTGCCTTGTGTCACACAGTTGTGCAAGCACTGCAGCAGAGGGCTAGTCCTCTGGTGTTGTCTACAGTATGGGACGCGTTGCCTGAGTAAACAAAGACATTTGCATCCAGTCACCTTTTTAGCCATTATCAGTGCATGTCATGTTTTGATACATTGTATATGGGAACACACAGACTGCTTGCTGCGTGAATTTTCCCACCCTCTGCTAGGGGTGCATCTTGGTCGGACCAGTTTTTCTACCCCCATCCAGACTGGACCGTTTTTTTTCACCGTCCAGAAATGCTATTAAAATATGTTAAAATCACAGCTTGACAGGCCTTTCTGTTAAGGGTAGATGTACTAAAATTTCACAATGTGCAGATGACTCGAATTTCCCATTTACTCCAAATTTGACCTCCTTTTATGCACTTCTTCATGATCTAGATAGTTTTAACAAATTTCAGGCCTTTTAAATGCTTGTTGTTTCCCGTTGTGTGTAGACCCAGATGCCCCGAGCAGGGCTGAGCCAAAGTTCCGTGAGTGGCACCACTGGGTGGTGGTGAACATCCCCGGGACTGACTGGAGTAAAGGGGAGGTGTTGTCGGACTTTGTCGGCGCTGGACCCCCGCCAAAAACCGGGCTTCACCGGTACGTGTTCCTGGTGTACAAACAGCCGGGGAAACTGGAGTGTGACGAAGAAAGGTTGCCCAATACTTCGGGCAAAAACAGGTACCGGAAATGTATTTATTTTTGTGTACATACAGTAGGTTAGTGGTTGAAATGAGTCAGTGTTACAGTTTTGTAGTAATGCACAAATTTGCAGTGTCATGATTTCACATGGGAAAGACACTGCAAAAATAAAGTTGTTGAGAACTTTTCAAAATTCACAGTATGTGGTATTAATCACCTCACCTATCCCTTGACGCTGTTGAGGGTTGTTGGGGCACCCGGCACCATGACTTGATCCACTATCCTCCTCCATTTAACTCTGTCCGCCGCCGCTCTTATGGCTGTATAATGTCCTTACTTCAGCTTCTGAGTAAGTTCAATCCAGTCCACTCTTTTATGTTGTCTTCCCACCTCTTTCTCCGCCTACCCCTTTTTCGACTTCCTGGAACTGTCCCTTGTACTAGTACAGTTTTTGCAAGTCCCGACGATCTTGCAACATGACCAAACCATCTCAGCTTGCGTTTCATTACGGTGATCAGTAGGTTGTCATGTGGTCCAATAGCTTGTACTACCTTTAATATACATGTAGTAGACTTTGTATACTAGTGGTCTCAATGTGTACTTCAAATTCAGTTGAGTTTGTGGCACTTTGCCATACCTACTTGCATGTTTCATGATCTCCAGCCTTTACATGCTTCTTCTATACATCAAGTGATACAAAGTCCACTCTTCCTAGGGGCGGGTGGAGTGCACGGAAGTTTGTGCAGAAGTACAACCTGGGGGACCCTGTGGCCGGGAACCTGTTCCAGGCAGAGTATGACGACTACTGCCCGCTCCTCTACAAACAACTGGGAATGTAGTTACTGCAGGATTGACAATTACCGCTTCATCATTCTTTGATTTGGTATTCATTTGATTTGGTATTCATTTGATTTGGTATTCATTTGATTTGGTATTCATTTGATTTGGTATTCATTTGATGATTCAATTCCAGAATCCCTTACTTTTCAACACACATATAAATATATAATAATAAGTGTTGGAGTGTTGGATCAAATCCAATGTAGCAAAATTCCCTAGAATTGCAAACGGTTGTAAAATAAAACTTTCAGTTTGCATGTGTTTTCAATTGAAAATGTATTCCAGCCAATCAAGACTCCTAGTTGGTATACATGTACAGTGTATACGTATGGAAAAATTTCTTTTTTTAATTCATAATTTTGGAACTGGTGATTCAGAGAAACAAAGAATTGGATTGTTTAGCTGTCTTACATTAGTTGCTTATTGCTGAGATATCTTGCTGTGTCATATGCTATTGAGAATGACAATTGAACCAATAAAGTGCTGAAAGCAATTTGAACAGACAATAGTAATGCTTCCAAGTTTACTGTGCATAATTACAGAAAACCTAGTTTCACTAGTTTTACTGGCAAAAAATTGAGATTGATTACGTAGATCAACAATTACTCTTTTTTGAGTGGTCAGCAATTTTTTAAATTGATATTAAAATTGGCAACATATCAGGACAACACTATCCATTGTTCACTGTGTTTCCAATTTTCACTGTGTTGTCTACGTATGACAATGCTACATTTTTGTTTATAAAACATTTGTAAATACAGATCTAGAGTGAGAAGCACATATGGGTGACAAGTAGCCTGACTATCTCACGCTTCTAGCGGATGTCGGACACTTCGGCATCTGGACACTTCGGCACTTGGACACTTCGGCATCAGGACAGTTCGGCACCTGTACACTTCGGCACCTGCACACTCCGGCACCTGGACAGTTCGGCACCAAGCTCAGGACGGTTCGGCACTACGACGACAGAATGCTACTGTTGGTTGCTGAACCGTTCTATGACTTCCAGCGAAGATAGTTATTATGTAAAAAAAAGCAAGGAGTGAAGAAGCCATCCAATATGTTATGCAGAACAGATACCCAAACCTGTTATTATTTCATCATTGTGGCTAATAAATGAAAACAGACTTTGAAAGTTGACAGGACAAACATATTAAGGTTATAGCCTGTCACTGTTTAATGTTATTTTGATGCAATATTCATCCTTGTAAACTGTTTACCATTAATGTTTTGATGTTTTTTCCCGCGCGTGGGACACCTCCCTGGCAACAGTAACTAACAACACTGGGACCACAACACTGCCTCTTCCATATTGCTTTTATTGTTGTACAACAAAATCGTTGCGTACTCGGACGTAGTAATTAAATAAAAGATATGGGATAGTATGACTTTCGTGATAGGGTCAGGTAGATTAAACACCGTTTCACAGTAATGTATCGGGCTGTCCAGGTGCCGAACCGTCCTGGCAGCTTGGTGCCGAACTATCCTGGGTCAGGTGCCGAACCGTCCTGGGAAAGGTACCGAGCCGTTTTTGGCCAGGTGCCAAACCGTCCTAGATGGTGCCGAAGTGTCCAGGTGCCGAAGTGTCCAGGTGCCGAAATGTCCTGATACCCTTCTAGCAATCCTTGCTGATCCCCTGGACAGTCCAGAAAAGGGCCCTATCAGTCTTTAACAATGATATTGTAACACAGATGAAGACATTTTAGTTCAGCTTTTGTCAATAAAGTAGAATGGCACTTGCTGATTTTCACCACATTGTGGACATACAGTCAAACCTGGTCTCAACAACCACTCACCACTGAGGTAAGAGTTCTGGTATTTTTGGCAGAAAGTCTTCACTGGGTAAAATTGGACGGACTGTTTCAATGTACAAGAGATTGTTGGTGGTTGGCTGGAAGGTTTGACTGTATGTACGTACTACATGTAGCTACAGTTTGGCAGGGTTGGGAGCTTGACGTCCCACAGGATGACTGTACTAATGTACAGCATGTCAGCAGAACATACTGTGCGCGCCTGTGCAAAACCGCCATTTTTATATGGTTTTAGCTGGATTTTTTGTCAACATTGCATCAGAATTTTGCCTGTTGCAGACGATATCTTTTCTGACATGACATTTGGAAACTACAGACGGAGTGTTAACATTATATATCACAAATACACCCTTTAAGGGCGTCTATGAGAAGTTCTGCTGAAGTGCTATGCACAATACATTACAGGTTTCGCACAGATGCAGTATGTTCTGCCCACGTGCTTGTATGTACAAGCTACAGTTTGGCAGGGTTGGTCTGACTGTATGTATGTACTAGCTAGGGTTGGTGGAAAAAGCAGTCCAGTTCCATCGGTGGAAGCTACAGTTTGGCAGGGTTGGGAGCCCGAGGGTAGCCCCACAGCCTCATCCTGCTGATCCCACCGTCAGGCGTCATGGTCAGGCGGACGTGAGTAACCACGCCCACCGGTTGCACCTGGCCTCCGCTCAGGAACAGGCGGCGATGGGCAGACAACTGTGGCAAGGGTACAAATAAATAAAACTAGACTAAGGTAACATTCGCAAAACAAATGCATAATGTTCCCATGGTCTAGCCTAACAAATTATCGCTCTGTTTATTCATAGTTTTTATACTCAAAAACATTCATATATGTTGTGACACAGTCTAACACTGTCCTGCAAATTGCAACACAATGTAACCCAACACCACCGAGTGCTACACCAGTTACTAAGGTGACAGACATCTGGTCCAGGTCATTGACATTATGTGTATGGAACAGAAGAAGGAACAGAGCAAAAACAACATGTTTCCTTCTGCAAAGGTAAACATATTAACAAAAAAATCTGCTAACATCATTCTGCCTAGAACTCTAAGACCATTCTCAAGAATGTCTGGATATGCCTATTTTGGGTATTACTGTTGCATCATATGAAGAAAATTTGATATCACTAAGCCAGTTTGGTGCATACCTTTGTCGGGCCAAGCAGAGTTTTCCACTTCGCTTCTTCACTCCCAATAGCAGCTCCCTCCTTCCCAAATAGGGCCTGTTCTTCTCTAGCAGACAGTGCACAGGCTAGGACAAAATTACAACACAGAACTGTGACCATGTTCTCTCTTGATTGGCACAGATGTCCTTGAAAGTTAGAATTATTTGCCTGCATTACATTTTAGTCATACTGGACATCTCTCTAGACTAGAATGACATTCAATTTAGTGGGGTTTGACATATTAACCTTCTTCATTGCAGTGACTGATTTGTGACCCAGTGGTAAAACAACATTATCATAAGTAATGTTACCTTCAATTCTGCAGGAGTCTGGGTAGTTTCCCTTGAAATGATTGGTGTCAATTTCAACCTGTGGAAGCAGATGTAATACATGTAGGTACAGGTATAAATCAGAAATACCTGCACAGTTCTAATTTTACCTTAAGGGTATTAAGGGCCATATGCACCCAGTATTTCGATCCCTGAATACCACATAATCTGTGATGACACCCTCAGATCACACAGCTTGACAACTCACCTTCAGGATGACTCCAGGATGCCCCAGTCTGTAAACAGCCCATTCACAACCTACACGGCACCAATAGTCACCTTTAGATATCATGCACATGCAGGGTGCAAAATTCATTGGGCCTAGGCAAAAAAATGTTGTGTTTCCTGTTTCAGTCCTGAAAAAATTAGGGTTAGTAGGTGAGGATTATCCTTTTTTTTTCTTTTTTCAAGTAAGACTTGCAGGAGTACAGTATATTGTCAATGTTGGAAAACTGATTGTACAACGTTTCATCACACAGGTGTCAGATCATGGAGCTAGAAAAGGTTGATCAGCTTGAAAAATTTATGTCCTTTGAATTGATTGATTAAAAGAAAGCTAGGGTTGGCAGTTTTTTCTAGGGTCAGTCAGGAAACAGGAACCACCACATTATTTTCCTAAGGCCTGGTTGAGAATAGGTGCACAGGTGCTATGCATCCTGTGGCAGGTTATTGTGCACAATGTGAAAATTTCAGTGTTAGGACTTTTAAAATAATTTTCTTGATTATACAAATGGGCTTCCTCTTCCCAACAATATCAGTTGTTTTGGTGTCTAAACTGTAGGTCAGTTGTTGTGGTGTCCAATTATTGGTTGGAAAATCCTTTTCCCCCTAAGATTCACTAAAATTTGAGATGTTAAAGAAAGTGAAATTCTGTTGTTTTTGTAGTTAGGAGGATCTCCTTCATTTGCCTGGGTGCCATCCTATTTGTATGCCGGGACTCCCAAATTAAGAAAGCGAGTATGGGAGTCCCCCAGCATAGAAGCAGGATGGCACCCAGGCTACTCCTTCATTTCGGCCCATACACAGTTTTCTGCTTTAGAATTATTTCCTGAAAGAGAATACTGCATACCTGGCACCATAAGTACACCACTCTTGTCAGCTTGTAATATGGGAGGCCTGTCCAACTGTGGACATAGAAAGACGAGGATGTTAGAAATGATCCACCTTACAGTTGTTTTCAAATAAGAATGCATGTTGTTATTCTAAGTTTCCCCTTGGGGACTCCTATGGTACAGAAATCATACTAGTATTCAATACATTGCATGTAGACACAGACAGATCCATAGACATACACATACACAGACAGATACATTGACACAGACAAGCTGAGAACAAAACTAATTTGGGATGAAGTAACTAAGGGTCCACTTCCAAGAAAATGTATGATTGTTCCTTACCCTGCGAGCAGTCTCCCAGCCATCCCCCATGTTCTCGGCCCTACCCAGCCCAATGGCATTGCGGGGATGCCCGTAGTGGGCATTGCTGAACCCCATACACACCCCTCCATTCTCCATGGCAACCAAATCCACCAGCTGAGGAGACAAATAAACAAACTGGTAACTATGGCAACCTAGGCAGCTTTTTCTGGTAAAACAAAACCGTCTAAGATGATTGACACTTGTCCAGACTTCTTAAAGTCATTGCCTCTTTCTCTCTGATATATATGTGTAACTGTTATGTACATATGTATATATGTATGTATGTATGTATACGTGTATGTATGTAACTATGTACAACAAAAACTTACTTCATTGCTTTTCACTGTGGACCAGTCTTTGCTGCCAATACCATAGACATGCAGTCTGGCTATACCCCCATCTGTCAAAAAAAAATATCAAAAGCAATGTAACTCACTGTTCTGCATAGAACACCAAATATTTTCTTTGAATCCATAGGATTTGATTACACAGTGTTTTGCAAAAAGAAGGCTTGAGCCAGCACGTACTGCGCCTGCGCAAAACCCTGATTTTTCACGTTTGTTGTTGGATGTTTGATCACCGTTGCATCAGAATTTTGCCTGTTGCACACAATATCTTTTCTATCACAACATTTGGAAACTACAGACGGGATGTTAACCTTGTATATGCAGATACAACCTTATATGAAACGTTCTGCTGATCGATGCACAATACATTACAGGTTTTGCGCAGGTGCAGTGCGTTCTGCTGACATGCTGCTTGAGCCCAGTACCTGGGTACATGTTGAGTCTGACATGAGTCCATCTCTGTGTGCTGGTGATGTGGTAGTAGTTCTTACATGTGTCGGGATAGCCTGGTCTCAGGGCTGTCAACGGAACCAACTCAGTCCATTTCTACCAACGGAAACAAAACATTACCAGCTGGCTACATTGCTCGCTTTGTACCATTTTACAAATGAAACAGGCTACCATCAGTCTGGTCTTCTTTCTTAGTGAAACATTCAATGTGCACTTGAGACAACGTCTAGAAAATGGCAACACATTATGCTAATTAGTTTTGGCCCTGATGGGAACTTTAACATGCACTGAGGGCGTGAACAGGGTCCAGTTTGACGAATCATAAAGCACTTTACATGGGGTCCAGATATTATCTTAGAGCTGTGTGGAATATGTTTTGAATAACCTGTCCTGGGGATTAGAAGTTGTTTCTATTAGAAAAGTTTCCATACTTCTGTTTGCATGTTCTCCATGGCTGCTAGCTGTTGTGGGGAAGCAGCAGTGCCCATTTGCGCCTGTCTGACCGGGAATGTGGTACCTACACAGAACAGGGATTTTGTATTATATAGTGATACATTGTATGTAGAATACTGTATGTAGAACCAACAAAGTTCTACATAGTCTGGTAGAACTATTGTACAATCAAGCCAGCAATGTCTACAAGACATCTTACCAAAAGCTAAGTCTACTAGTAGCTCCGTGCTTTCCTTTTTTGTCATATGAAATGCATGTACATGTAGATGTTTTCAGTATTTAAGAAGAGATGTTTTATTTGGTCATTCAGGCCTCTGGACCAAGTTTTTTGACTTTAATAGGAGCATTGGTCTAACCCAAAAAATGTGAGCATATGAGCAAAAATCTAGGCGCATTGCTATGCAGGTAGACCATTGTATCGATTGTTAATTTGCAGCATTCTGCAATAATACATGTAATTGTGTTTTTGAACATAGAAGCATTATGATCAGAGGACAAGAAAGCAATAATTATACAGTTATGATATGACTTTAGCTTCGTAGTTCATTTTTATAGTACATCCAAGTTTTGAAGGCAGTGCTGGGTGTGCATACATCCTACCATCTGGTAAACATGCAGCCTGCAGGGAGAAACGTGGTGCGTAGTTGCCCGTGAAGAAACTGGTGTCCACCTCCACACCACTGATGACCCCTGACACACCTAGCTGGACAATGCACCAATCATGGCCCTCCATTCTCTTCCTGAAGCATTATGGCAGTTCAGATCATTAGCATATATTATGCATATAACGCGTTACATGTTCCTATTTGCATGTTTGTGAGCAGTTACATGCGGCCTTTACCGATAGATGGAGGTCAGTGTGCTGCACCGGCGAAGCAAATGAGAGCCCATCCCTCATTGACAATTTTCAAACAAAGATATCCCAAGGAGGTTCAAAAATGAAGAACCTCCTTGGATATCCTTAGAAAAGTACAACATTCAAATTACTACCAACAAACTACTGTCACAAACTAAGAACATGACGTGGTATGATTTTTTTTTTACTTAAAGGTCAATGAGGAACAGGCAGTATCAAATTTAGTGTATCCAGAACTTATCGTTAAGAATGGTTGTCACATCCTTTATACCTCCGGGACTCCCATCCATCCATCCACTTGCCATACTCAGTGAACACTCCCTCCTTCCACTGGGGTGGGTCTCCCTGGAAACACAGGTAAACAACATTAAAACACTGCACTAGGCCTCACTTGTATCTTTTCTGTCAGTGGACACTTACAGACATATAGTTACATACTTCTTGTTTGGCACTCCAATCCTACCTTGAGAAGATTATCAGCCACAGCAAACCAGTCATCTGTAGCAAACAGAACCCTGCCTCCTGCCTGGAGAGGTGGAACAACATTCAATCAATGTCAGACACTCATATGTCTATATATAATATATAAATACTTATAAATATATAATATATATGATATTATATTATATATTAATTATATATACAGGTGTACATTCCGTAACAAACAGACATCTTAAAGTAAGCATACTGCAGTGGGGTTTACGGATAAACCTGGGTGCCTGCCAGTAGCCTGACGTGGTAGCATGGCCTGGCAGGCACCTAGTTTTCCGTAAACCCTACTGCAGTGGCACTTTGGGGGTTAATTAACACAAGGTGAAATAGACAAAGGACAGCAATTGTTGGAGTGGACAATAGAGAATGGTGGAAATTTTGACACCCTTCTATTATTATATTATAGTTACCTTTGCGGAGGCCAGGTCATTCAACTGTGTGAAACGGGGTGGGGTCGTTGACATTGTTGTTGATGACATCTTCAACTTATCTAGGTAAACAGGGAAAAAAATGGTTGTTTATGAAAATAAGACATACATATATTCCCCCTGTATTGTTTTTTAAGGCAGAGAATGAGAGATTGTCAATAAGAATTTTTTTTAGCTACAATGCATTATGTAGGACTAGAACGGCAAATAAAACTGTATGCAAAATGCACCAATTATGCTCTACGTTGAATTAGAGCAGTTCGTCTACGCTCTATGTCGAATTAAAACGGCCGATCATGCTCTACGGAAAAGGGCATGCAGGGCCCCCCTGTAGGATCATCTGGCGAATAGACGGAGGTATGGAATCGTGGAACTCTTGTTTATAAAGTTAAACCTGCTTCTTCCTTTTGAAGTGGCCACCTTCAACAGGATGAAGATTCTGCCGCCTATAATGTATGCTTACCTTAACATGTTGCACACTTGCGCACAGCTACGTTCCAAAATAACACGGGTTAGTAAATGTCCTTGGCACTAATTACTAGTAGTAAGTGGTCAAGCAGGCTAAAGTCCATCCTTGCAACTTATTTGACCCCGGAAGCGGAAGTACTTCCTTTCACTCTTTGACCTCACCCTTACACAACAACATGGCTGCCGACGTGCACCACATTTCTCTCCGAGTGTCCAACGCTCGGCGCCTTGTCAAGGACCTGGTGGACAAGTTCCACTTCTCGTTATTCACGGAGAGGGTGGGGGAAGGAGTGAAGCAGTTCGCCGTGCGCAGCGGCTCCGCGATCTTCGTGGTAAACGAGAGAAACTCTGGCGAAGAGTTGGTGTCACAAACCGGCTTATGCAACCACGATGCCGGTGTCAATGCTTTTACGGAGAGAAGAGACGGTTTGTCGAGAGAATGTCATCATTTGTACGACTTTTCTGACGTAGACACGCCGGTGGACTCTGTCTGTAATGTCGCGTTTGAGGTTGAGGACGTGGACAGCTCCTTAGAGCGCGTGGTACGGGCGGGAGGACGGGCTCTAACCGACATCAAGGTCACCGAAGACGAGCAGGGTTCCGTAACGCACGCCGTGGTGCAGTCCCCCATAGGGAACGTCGTCCACACGCTGTTAGACAAGAAGCTGTACAAGGGTCTGTTTTTACCCGGATTCGACGTTAGCGCCGATTCGTGGACCCGGAAGTCAAGTGCGAGGCTTTCCCGGTTCGACCATGTGACGTACGCCTGTCCCAGGGGCGCGTCACCCCCCATCCTGGAGTGGTATGAGCGATGTTTAGGACTGAAGAGATTTCTGGTCAACAGGTAAAAATTAACATGATGAGAACATCGATTACATAAGAATTATTTTTCACTTTATGTTTTATTATTTTGTAACAATGTTCTATTTTTAATACCTTTGCCAAATGATGTTAACAATATTTACGACTAATGTATTTTGAATCTTTATCAATTATGCAATAATGCAGTTCATTTGCATTTTGTATATCTTTTCCATCTAACTATCATGAACTTAACATCTTAACGTCTTATCAGAGAGGACGTTCCCAACAGAAGCTTATTCATACCTCAGTTAAGTGAGGAAATACAGATGTAGGACTAAGGTATAAAGTGCCATTCCGAAGGATACAACAAAGGGGCCTGCCACTAGTGCCAGGGATTCGAACCCAGAACCTTCGGAATCTGAGTCGACAACCCTACCACAAGATCACCTTACCACATGTATGTCTAACCACCACCAACGCATTTATTCATTTCTACCCAGGGAGGAGTCAGAGGACCAGGGGTTCATTGTCCAGGGTACAGATGTGGGGATGAGGCTGAAGGCTTTTGAGTTCTGGAAATGTGCTGAGCAGGGGTTGAGACTGCCAGGGCCAAGTTCAGACGTAAAACCAAAGGTCAAGTTCGTCATTGCAGAACCACTACCTGGACAAGGTGAGATATTACTAGTAAAGCGACAGAACAAAATACTAGTACCTTATGTTTGTTTTTCTGACAGATCTGGTTCTATTTCTTTTTCAAATGCACATTTTTTATGCATTAGCTTGACAAGAAATTGAAGATTCCACACCCCAGTATCTTCTATCCAAGAAGTTAGAGATTTTTAAGCCTACAACTTAGCAAATTCTCAGAAATTTTAGCTCAGTAATTTGCATTAGTTAAAAAGAACTGAATCCAACAAGAGGATTCAAAGACATACTAGTAACCAGATGGAAACCCATTGCATAAGACTTTCACAACTGCCAACCTAGGTTGAACCCATGACCATCCCAGATACAATTGAGACAAACACTCTTCCCACTAGACTATTGCATATGGGCTTTCTAAGATGGCTTGGAAAAATTCCTTAGGCCACACGAATTTAATTTCTTGGTTAACGGATTTGCCGCTTCATTTTTTTCTGATTTGCAAATAAAAATAAAAATTCAGAATCAACTGCAAAATGCTCATATTTTGCCCTGAACAGTTGAAAACAGTCATTTTCTTACTACTTGTTACAGTCATTCCATCTTTCAATGCAGTAGTATCATTAAAAGTTCAAAATTCATTGTTTAAATTTTGAACCAATCTGGTGTGTTAACTTCATGGCTCCTATCGTACCATTTTGGGCCATAATAGGATGCCTAGGCCTGTTTTTATTTTTTATTTTTTTTCGCCCGCCCGCTCCATTATTTTTCCAGAAAAATCCGTTAACCAAGAAATTAAATTGGTGTGGCCTTAGTAGAAAATAAAATGTTGAAGCACTTTTGTAAACAAAGCGTTACAGTTTGAGTACACAGTAAAAAAAAAACTAAAAATGCTAACCATTTCAATCCCCAGGTCCCAACCAAGTGGAGACCTTCCTGGAGCAGCATGGCGGCCCCGGGATCCAACACATCGGCCTGCACTCACCTGATATCATCTCCACCACCAGACAGCTGCGAGCGGCACACGTGCAGCTGCTGAAGCCACCTGACACCTACTACAGTGAAGTACATATTTTTCAATGTCTTCATTAAGCTTGTTGCAGCCATGTCTTTTCTTAATCCAGAACTTAAATGCTGTATTCCATTCATTGGTATACCCGTACTTTGGTACCCTAGCCTAGTGTCCAGTTTATCGTGGTTGGGGTAGGTTCTCTTCAGAACTGCAGAATCTCTGCCCCGCCCACCTCAGCTAAATTCCCCGGTAGGTTTTGCACGACAGGAGTTCAATTAGCTGTGGTGGGGCTAATCAACTCCTGGTGTGAAAAACTCCTACAGGTATAACACTCCTCCTGTGCGGTCTGTTGAGCTGGGCAGGGAGAAAACTATTAGAACCATGAAGACAGCGTGCCGATAGACTGGATACAGGTTATTGGTACCCAGGTGTCCCTATACTAAAAAAAACACCTCACTTTAGTCTTCGTACCTGTCCATAGAACATCCTTGACCTTATAACGTTGTCATTCTCAGATTTTTACGTTGCCGCTCGGATATAGAACAGATACATCGCCGTTGGAACATCTGAGTGGCTTAACACCTTTTCTACACACTTCCACTCTCCTTCTGCCCAGATTGGTAAGCTGTCAGAGATCCACCAGGTGGGTCAGTCCCTGTCAGCCCTGCAGGACAACGGAGTTCTCCTGGACGCTGAGGCTGATGCTGCTGACGACGAGCACTGCAACAACAATCAGAGGTACCTGTGATGTGTGACTGAGATGGCATTCGGGTCTTTTTTTGGAAGCTGCATGATGGACCAAGGACTACAAATGTCAACTCAAAACTTCATGGATTGTTGCTAGCTTTTGTTCTACTTCAATCTTCTCTTAAAGTTGTAAAATACTTTGCATTTCATTTTATTCGTGCTGACAAGGAATCCATATTAACAATTTGACACATCAGGTAACTCATTACCATAAGTTATGTATCTTATTATATTGTCATGATGATATCTGTGTCACTTTAATGTTTCGTTCCCCTACCCCTTTTTTCTACAATCAGCTTGAGAGCGTAATGATGCCATCACAAGGATAAAAAAGTCAGCCCAAAGAATAAAAGACTGCCACTTGTTTCAAGTAAAAACGTCAGTCTCACCTAGAGCTTTCGACCAGTCACTCTCATCTTCCTCATATCAGTAGACTGATCGACCCAGTGAGGCAATGAACATGTACTAGCTACCAACACAGATGAACTTTCATGATAGTATAAGACTGGCATTTAATACATCACAGCCCAATTGCATCTGGATTCTTCTCCCTCCCCCAGATACCTGATGCAGGTATTCACCAAGCCCATCTTTGATGAGGACACTTTCTTCCTGGAGATTATCCAGAGGTGCGGTGCGACAGGATTTGGTGCAGGGAACATCACAGCTCTGTGGAGATCAGTACAAGCTTACTTAGACCAGAGAATGCAGCTCGAGAACAGACAGAATAACTCATCCCAATAATGGCATTTATAGTTTGCTATTTTCGTCTTCAATTATGAATTAGATTTGGTCACGTTCTGCACTGAAAGAGTAGCGATATGTGGAGAAATTGTTTTTGCTTGTTTGTTTTTGTTATTTAGGCCATGTTGATTTGATTATATGGATGACATCCGCGCGCGCATGAATTTTCGGCCGTTTACAAAAAAAAAAAAGTTTTCAACCATACTGTAAATCGTACAAAACAGTTGCAAAATGAGCAAAAATATACCATAAGGCCACACCAATTTAATTTCTTGGTTAACGGATTTTTCTAGAAAAATAATGGAGCGGGCGGGCGAAAAAAAAT